TATATATATATATATATATATATATATATATATATATACATATATAAATACAAATATATATATGTATGTACGTATGTATATATATATTAGTAACAACACAAACCCCAACAAGAAGACAGAGAGAACAGAAAAATGAAACAAAAGAAAAGAAAAAACAAAAGAGGGGGAAAAGAAGACAGAGAAAACCGCATATATAACAAAGAAAGGGGTTGGGATTCAAGGGTTTAGGGTTTAGGGTTTAGGGTTTAGGGTTTAGGGTTTTAAGGGCTGGAACGGCGATGAGGCCCTAGGGTTCGGGGCAAAGGGATCAAAGAGTTGAGGGTTTAGGGTTTAGGGTTTAGGTTTTGTTACTTTAAGTGTTTAGGGTTTAGGGTTTAGGGTTTAGGGTTTAGGGTTTAGGGTTTAGGGTTTACTAACCTGGGAGCTGCAGCAGCAAGGGCTGCAACAGCAGCGAGGCAGAAGGCTCTCATGCTGTGCAGTGTTGGGGTGTATGTACACTGCGTTTGTTTGTTTATTTTTTTATATAAATAAATAATAAGAGGAAATGAAAATATAATGTAGTAGCAGCAGCAGCAACAACAGGTGCTGCTGCTGCTGCTGCTGCTGCTGCTGCTGCTGCTGCTGCATGGTGATGAGGGTCACCTGCTAGGTAGGGGGGGAGACAAGCGCTACGCAGGTTGCGCTTGTGGGGTGTAATAGATATATAAACAAGTATAATATATAATATATAATATATTTTATTATTTTTTTTTATTTATTTTATATAAATAACAAACACAGACAACATATCCTCAATACTGATGCCCCCACTAACCCTCATCACCGATCCCTAGCTGCTCCTCCTGCTGCTCCTGCTGCTGCTCCTGCTGCTCCTGCTGCTGCTCCTGCTGCTGCTGCTGCTGCTGCTGCTGTTGTTATTCCTATTGCTGCCGCTGCTATCTGCCATGATGTTGCTGCTGCTGCTGCTGCTGCTGCTGCTGCTGCTGCTGCTGCTGCTGTATCTAGCTGCCCATACACCCTAACTAAAGGAGATACTGCTTAATGCAAAGCCACCAACTCTCCTCTTTTCTTTTCTTTTCTCTTTTCTCTTTTCTTTTCTTTTCTTTTCTTTTCTTTTCTTTTCTTTTCTCTTATCTCTTCTTTTCTCTTTTCTCTTATCTCTTATCTTTTCTCTTCTCTCTCCTTTTCTCTCTTCTCTCTTCACTTTTCTTCTCTCTTCTCTTATCTCCC